AGAGAGAGAGGGAGACACAGAATCGGAAACAGGCTCCAGGCTCTGAGCCATCAGCCCAGAGCCCGACGCGGGGCTCGAACCCACGGACCGCGAGATCGTGACCTGGCTGAAGTCGGACGCTTAACCGACTGCGCCACCCAGGCGCCCCAATTTTCTAGCTGTTCTTTCCAGAAATCTGGGTGAATCTTTGACAAATCTCTTTCCATCATCAACCACAACCAATCCACAAATCAAGCCCTGACAATTTCATCTCCTAAATAAAATCCATCCACTTGGCAGGGGCAGCTGACTCAAACCACCATCATCTCTTGCCTCGAGCTAGCACAACATTCCCTTAATTGGTCTTCACTCCAATACCCCCATAACATCTGTTTTGTACACAGTAGTCAAAGGGATCTTTCTACCAATGGGATCATGTCTGTGGCTTGCTCAGAAGTCAACAACTTTCCTTTGTCCTCCCCATGAATAGGCCAACTCCTGCCCAGGGCTGGGCAAGGTCAGAACCTACCCCAGGGCCCTTCATCTCATTCCCCCTCCATCTCTGTTCCAGCCACAGAGAGACCTTGTGTGACACGCACGCTTCCTTGAACCCACACTCACATGCTCCCTTTTCTCCTGCCTTGTGCGCTAGCTGTCCCCTCTGCCTGACCCGCCCTACGCTCCTATGCCACATCCATAAACTTCTCTTCCTAGCATTTAGCCCGGCTCGAAATGATTTATGTACGCAAACGATGTCCTCCCCAACTGAAAGGTGAGCTTTCTGAGGGTGTCTTGCTTGCTGCTTTATCTCTATTGGGCCAGGCATGGTCACCCAACGAATATTTATCGAGTGAATGAATAATTCACCGGACCCCACGCCCAATGAGTGCATGAAGAGCCCAAATCTGGTGTCCTAGGAGCCCCACCTGAAAAGCATCCTGGAGAAAATGCGCAAATAAAATTGGCGAGACGCAATCACGTAGGGAAGGAGGCCTTCCCTTTTTTCCTCCCAGGACAGAAAAAGGGGAAGACAGCTCACGGCCCCATCCCGCTTTGGCCGTGGGGTGGCGCTGTGAGCATGCCCCCTTCAGGCCGCTCTAGCCGCCCTTCTCGCCTGCTCTGCTGGGAGGCGGGCTCACCCGCGGGGGTCCCTCCAAGATGGCGGCGCAGAGGAGGAGCCTGCTGCAGAGTGTGAGGAACGACCCGCTCTCCGGGCTGGGGGTTGGGACCCCAGGGGGCGGCCTGTCGGGTGCAGGCGCGGCTCCCTCTCCGCCGCTGGGCAGCCTCCCTCTCGCTGACGAGGTGTAGCCGCTGCCCTCCCCCCCCGACTCGGGGCCGGACCCCCCCCCCCCCCCTCATTCCCGAGGCCGGCGGCGTGTGCGGCCCCGCGTAGCCCGCGCGTGCGCGCTGCCTCCGGGCGGTCAGGGGCTGGGATTCGCGATCGCAGCGACCCCGAGCGTCAGGGGCGCGTCGAGGGTGGGGAACGTCCCGGGGCCGGAAGGGAACGTGGCGCGCGGTGGCGGAGATAGTCGGGGCGGTGAGCCCACCCCGGGCGCTGAGCAGCTGTGCGGTAATAACAGTTACAGCAGCAGCAGCAGCAGCAGCAGCAGCAGCAGCCCATGGTGTACCGCTCATCACCCTCCAGGTTTTCCGCCAGTTGCTTTACGTTATAAGCTGAATTTTCATCACAGCCCTGGGAGGTGGGTACTCTTATTCCCGTTTGGCAGATGAGGAAACGGAGGCACAGATGAGGACAAACGGTGGTCGTTTGTCCAAGGCCACACAGCCAGTAAGTAGCAGAGTCAGGGTTAACATCAGACTGCCTGATTCCAGGAACGGGGTTAACCTCCAGGTGATACCGGAGGAATGACTCGAGTGGCAGCCTGGGTCCTGGTCCTGGCTCTAATTGGTCATGCCTCGGTTTCCTTAACTGTAAGGTGAAAGCAGGCAGTGGGAGGATGGTCCCGAGACTCACCCTTACCCCGAGTCTGGACCTTCATGGATTTGTCGCTGGTGTCTTACAGCCCCTGCGTCCTCCTGACACGTGCACATGGATGCATACACATCTTGGCATCATGAGCCCCATCGGACCTGCCACCGTAGGGTGCTGGTCCCCTGGGTCCACCCCAGATGTGGCAAGCTGTCGTACTTTCCCTGTGGATTTGCCTGCCTCCTGTACTTGTGATCCACAGTGAATAGTGTCACCAGCTCTTTCCACCACTAGGTGCCAGGCATTCAGTAAATATTTGTAAAATAGTAAAGCATTTGTAGCCCTGTCCAGTGCTTGGCCTTGGCCTTACAGCAGCCGTTGGCCCTGCCCTTGAGGGACTTAAAGCATAAGAATTGGGGAAGGGTGACCTTCAGTGCTGTATACTAAGGACAGGCTTTGTGTAGATGGGCTTTGAAACTGCTCTTCTGGGACAGCAATTCCCAGGGCTCCCCTGTGGGGATTGCTCTCTCCCCCTCCACACCTTTGGCTGCGCCTTTCTTTTACCGGCGCTCTGCAGGTCAGCCTTGTCATTAAGTGGGCCTGGCCTCTCTGCTCTGGAAGCTCCCAGAGGGCAGGGCCCCTGTATAAATATCCCTGTTGTACAAATTCCAGACATCTGGGCTGGACCGTGGCGAATGTTGGAAGCGGTAACTGCTCTGGAGGGACTCGGCTTGCTGAGGAGAGTGCCTTCCAGCTTCCCCCTCTTCTAGGTGTGATGGAGCCCAGGGGACTCAGGTTAGACAGAAGCCAGGCTTTGCCAGCTCCGGAACGTGTTCCTGGGTGGTAACGGAATCTTTGGAAGATGGATAATCAGCTTTAAGCACATAGCCTCGTGATGAAAGACCAGGGGGTGGCAGTGATGTCCACACGAGAGCCCTCCCATCCTAATGGTGATCAAGACATCCCTGTTCACAGGGCGTCTGAGTGTCCGGGCAGTGTGTGTGGCTCGCTGACCGGCTCTCCGCTGTCCTGCGGTAAGATCAGCTCAGATACCGTCATTGAGCAGATGGCTGTGAGGGCTACCACACAAGGTCGGGTAGCTGTCACCCAAGGATACCCTCACGGGTATCCAGATGGCAGAGGTCCCCAGGCAGCGTGGTCCCTTAAAAGGTCTTTTGAACAGAAGAAGAGCTTTTGAAGGTAGCTTGGTGTGTTCAGAGGAACTTGGGTCCTTCACGGCCTCACAAAAAGCACAGGTTTCGAATGGACTCGGACAAGTCACTTAACATCCCCGAACCTTGGTTCCCAGCCGAAGGGACTCCCAGGAGTGTTGTTAGAATTAAATGAACTCACACGTTACAGTCCCTAGCCTAGCGTAGTCACAGTCCAGCCATGAAGTGCCGCCTTCAGTTCTGAACACTCAAGTGTCACTGAGCTCTTACTCTGTGGCAGGCACTGTGTGGGTATGGGGGACACTTCCCTCGTGAAGCCTGTGTTCTGATAAGGGAGACCGTAACAACGAATAAATACAGATTACGACATAATAATATCTGTAGCGTCAGGTGGTGCTTCATAGAAGGGCAGAGGGGCCATTTTAGACAGACTATTTGGATGAGACCTCCCACCATTTGATGGGATGCAGTAGGGGATTTGGGAGGGGTATTCCTGCCTGAGGGAAGAGGGATGCAGAGGCTTGTGTGTTTGGGGAGCACCATGGAGGCCAGCGTGGCTGGAGTAGAGCGTGTTGGAGTGGTAGTAACCAAGGGCCAAGGGGCCTTGTGGACCCTGCTGTGGACTTCTTTAGGCTCTATTCTAAGCGTACTATGAAACTTGCTGGTGTTTTTTTGGTTTTGATGTTTGTTTCTTTATTTTGAGAGAGGGAGAGAGAGCAGGTAGGGGAGGGGCAGAGAAAGAACTCCAGGCAGGCTCCGCACCGTCAGCACAGAGCCGGACGCGGGGCTTGCACGAACGAACCAGGAGCTCATGACCTGAGCCGAAATCAAGAGTCGGACGCCTAACCCACTGAGCCACCCAGGCGCCCCGAAACTTGGCAGTGTTTAGGAGGAGCACGCGATCTGGTTTGTGGTTGGAGAAAGAGCCTGTGTCAAAACAGGTTTGAGTGGAGAGAGAGTGGAAGCTTGGGACCTGCTGCGTGGCGCTCCCGGGCGTCCAGGCAGGAGCAACGGCAGAGGAGTGGGGAGAAGCAGCAGGTTCTGGCTGTATTTTGGAGGACGAGCGGGTGTGATTTGCTGCTGGATCCGATGTGGGGTGCGTGACGGAGGGAGAGGGAAGAAGGACTACAGGATTTCACTTGGCACAACAGCGGTGCCCTTCACCGAGATGAGGGACCCTGGAGCGCATTTGGGGCTGGGAGAATCGAGAGTGTGGTTTCTGCCTGTGCTTTGCTGTACTTAGTCATAAAATGAAAATCGACTTGAAATTAATTTTTTTTTCACTTAGAAACATCACTTGAGCGACCACATCCATGAGGTCACAGGTGCTGGCTAAATATTTTTTCTAACATCCATAATAAATACGCACCCATTAAAATAAAAACATCCGTTAGGCCATCACCCACAGCCGTCCCCTCCGCCGTCAGAATGTAGCCCAGCTGCTGCTGCACACAGTAACTGCCCCACAATTATTAGCAGCCCCTTTAAGCATGTATTAGGACTATATTTGTGATGAAAACATAGAGGGCCTTTGATGAAAAGCCTGCTGAAAGGGGTTGGGGGGTGGGCAGGGGTCGAGCTGGTCCCAGAGAAGTGGGGAAGGAAAAGGGGGTCATTCAGAAAGAGAGATGGCAGGAGGCACCGGGTATTTTCAGCTTTTGGGAGAGAAAAAACAGTTGCCCGCCCCCCCCCCCCAGCCATCTTCCTGGGGGCATTATTCTCTCATTCTGAGCTTCCTTTTTGCCTCCAAGGAATCTGGGTGCTTTCACCACAAAAACACTCAGCCTTTTCATACCATAATTTGATATTCAAGCTGTGGCCTGAAGTTGGAACCGTGCTTTATCCACTTCTGCTGCCCAGGAGTTTGAGATGAATCTCTGTGGGGACTTTTCTGGCCTATTATGTGACGCGGTAACATATGTATATGAAGCGGCTTCCATACATGTGCACAAGGTGTTTGTGACACCCTTCACTGGGTCCGTACAACTGGATCACTGTAGAAAGTTTTCATGCCAGAATACGAATTTGGGGAATTCCCTCACACAATCAAGTCAAAATTAGGCTTTTTGAAACAGACTTCTTTCTTACTGCCTTTTGTGTTAAATTTCTTCCGAGAAATTAACTTGTAACCCACCAAAGAGTTACAGGGGTGCACGCTCTCTGAGGTGCGTATTTACGCGGCTCTGTGACGAGGCTGTGTGAGCGTGGGGGCCCCCGTCTTGGCTCCCCAGGTGCCCCTTGCCGCTGGCGCTGGCAGGCCTGGCATTTGTGGGTGTGGAGAAGGTATGCGTCAGTGTGTGCGGGGGTGGGGAAGGGGGCGGTTTGTGTGAATAGGAAATATGCGGCCTTTCCGAAAATTGTTCAGGCGTGTGGAGGAAGGAAGCAAGAGACTTGGCAGTGGGGTGGAGTCGGCATTGGATGCTTGGCATGGCTAATCCCCGGTGGAGTGGGCAGAGCTGGGACAACAGGATGTCAACTCACCCAGCCACAGCAGTGTCAGAGGGACTTCGGGGCCACTGCTGAAATCGGGGAAGACCAGGTACTCTCATACTCCTATGTGGGTACAAACTCCTGGAATTCTCTGGCCACTTGTCATGGAATGTCTGAGTTCCTATGGGGACTGCATTCCAAGCAGGTCCTTCCTCTCAAGGAATGCTCACAAGTATATGAGAAATGGTCCATAGGTCATTGGATCTAAGACACCATTAATGATAAGGACCCATCACTATTTTATATACCACTAAGAAAGAAAACTCACTGCCAATTAACTTGAAACACACCAACTTCAGGGATTAAAAGATAGAAAATATATGTCTTGGAATCAGTGGCTAATTAACAATACCAGGTTACAAAAACAAACAAAAACCACAATAAAACAGGGACACCTGCCTGGCTCAGTTGGTGGAGCACATGACTCTTGATCTCAGGGCCGTGAATTCAAGCCCCACGTTGGGTATAGAGATTACTTAAATAAATACACTTAAAACAACAATACAACAGTACCAAGCTACAGCATGAGAGTTGCCAGAAGGCCAAATGGTTAATAATCGGTATGTGTAGTGAGCCCCCAAGATAGATTTCTCAGGGAAGGGACCCTGGCACCTTGGGCTGCATTGTCCCTGAGTCTGGGACACATACAATGAGGAGGTTTGGTATGTGCTGGCATGAAAGTCATTGTTATATAGCACACAAGTTATGTGCTTTTCTGTTCTCTTTCACACTCTGATGATGTCAGGAGAAAGACTTGGTTTGGTCCTGATATATCCCTAATACCTTATGTGTTTCTTTTTTTTTTTTTTTTTTTTTTATGTGTTTATTTTTATTTTATTTTATTTTTTTTTTAATTTTTTTTTTTTCAACGTTTATTTTTTTGGGACAGAGAGAAGGGAGACAGAGCAAACATGAACGGGGAGGGCAGAGAAAGAGGGAGACACAGAATCGAAACAGGCTCCAGTCCTGGAGCCATCAGCTCAGAGCCTGAAAACGCTGCCATGAAGGCCTGAACCACGGACCATGCAGATCGTGACCTGGCTGAAGTCGGACGCTAACTCCACTTCATATGCCCACAAGCGCCCCCCAATGTGTGTTTATTTTTGAGAGAGAGAGAGAGAAACAGCATGAGCAACAGGGGATGGAGAGAGAGGGAGACGCAGAATCCGAAGCAGGCTCCAGGCTCTGAGCTGTCAGCACAGAGCCTGATGCGGGGCTTGAATTCACAAATGGTGAGATCATGATCTGAACCGAAGTTGGACAGTTAACTGACTGAGCCACCCAGGTGCCCCAGCACCTTTCTGATTCTTGCAAGTCTTCTCCCCCACTTAAAAAAAAATGTTTATATTTATTTATTTTGAAAGAGACCATGAGGGGGGGAGTGGCAGAGAGAGGGAGAGGAAGAATCCTAATGACGTGCCAGTTCAGAGCCCGATGCAGGGCTCGAACTCATGAACTGGGAGATCACGACATGAGCTGAAATCAAGAGTTGGACGCTTGGGGCGCCTGGGTGGCGCAGTCGG